GGGCCGCAGTCGGCGCTCAGCCGCTGCCCCCGCCGCCCGACGAGCCGCCGCCGGGCTTCTCCTTGTCCTACTTCGGGTTCGCGTTGTCCTTGACCGTGGCGGCCAGCCCTTCTCGCGGGAGGCGGTTCTGTTTCAAGATCCGCGCCTCCTGCTCTGCAAGCGTCGCCATGTGAGCTGTCAACTCGCGGGTGGCGAGGCCGCCGCCCTCGCCCATGGCGTGCTCCGTCATCTTCGACAAGCCCTGGGACGACGGCGATTTCGGGTTGACCCGCGCCGCCCGCTCGATCTGCAAGATCCGCCGCGCAAGTCCAGGCTCGCCAGGTTGCTGGCATCTAGGCAGTCGTAGCCGAGATCGAGGGCCAGGACCTGGAAGTGGATGCGGTGCTCGAGCGCGATCCCGTTCTCCGAGTGGACGCCCGACTGGCGGGCCCAGCACGAGTGGCAGGTGAACTGCGTGAGGCCCAAGGCAACGACCCCGCGAACCAGCTCCACCACCGCGCGCGGGCCTGAGTGCGGCCAGTCGCTCACCTTCGCCAAGTCGAGGGGCCGGAAGTGATCTGCGGCCTGCGAGAGCGGGACGAGGCTCGAGCCGAAGTCGTTGCCACGCGCAGGCAGCAGCCGTCGGTCGCGCCTCGTACTCGGCCGTGGGCACCAGCGCTGCGAACAGCCAGCGGCGCGGCTCGCCCCAGTTGACGAGCGCCACGGCGCCGGTCACCACGCCCGAGCTCGACGCCTCGTCCGACGGCACCTCCTCCCGAACTCGGCTGCGCTGGTGTCCGCCAACCGCCAGGCGTTGCCGCCGCCCGCTGCAGGTGCCCCCGGCGCGCCCTCCGCGCCCACGATGACCGCGAGCCGCGTCGCCGCCGCATGGGGCCCCAGCAGCTCGGCACCCGAGAGCGCCGCGATCAGCGCACAGTCGCCAGCCGCCCTCGCGGGCACCGCCGCGCCGCGCGCCAAGGGGGCGAGCTCGAACTCGCCAAGGGGGCGATCTCCGCCAGGCCCCAGCACCATCCAGCGCGACCCCCTGGTCCGCCGCAACAGCACGCGATGCTGCCATGTCTCGGCGTAGCCGTCGATCGACGCCAGCACCTGCGGCTCGTCGATGTCCAGAGCGCGCTCCATCACCGCCGCACCTCCTGCGAGGCGAGCGCCGCGAGCAGCTCAGGCGAGGCGCGTGTCCGCGGGCGCGGCCCGCCAGTCGCTGCGGGCGCGGCCCCCGCGGCCCCCCTCTCGGCCGCCGCCGCCGAGCGCCGCCGACAGCACCAGCCGCAGGCTCCCGCGACGCAGAGGCCGAGGAGCGCCAGGAGCAGCACCGCGATCGCCGAGATGACCCCCAGCACCGCCGCCGCCAGCCGCCACCACTCCAGGGCAGCCCGCTGGCTGAGGAGCTGCCGCAGCTCCTCGTCGCACGTGCAGACCGGGCAGGCCTCGCATGTGCCGGCGTTGGGTCCGGATCCCCACGCCGAGGCGGGCGATTCGACCGCCGGCACGATGCACGTCGGGCGGCGGATGTCCCCGAACACGCAGTGCCCCGCCCAGCCGAGCGCCGCCGCGAGCACCGAGGTGAGGCCACCCCAGCCCGGGTCCATCAGCCGCCGCGTGAGCCAAGGGAGGCTGGGCCAAGGCGGCCATGGACCAACCCCTCCCGCAAAAGGAAAGGCAGTCGTCGACAGCACATATGTGTATGTGTGTGTTGTGTGTTGTGTTTGTGTGGGCGTTGTGTGTGTTGTGTTGTGTGTGTGGTGTGTGTGGTGGTGTGTGTTGTGTGTGTTGTTGTGTGTGTTGTTGTTGTTGTTGTTGTTGTTGTTGTTGTTGGTGGTGGTGGTGGTGGTGGTGGTGGTGGTGTTGAACACTATTACTTCTAAAGAATTATTATTGTTGGACCCCCTGGTGCACGCCCCCCGCCCAAAACCTAGGCCGCAGCTACATTTTCATTATTTTTCTGCGAAAGCTTTAGAAAAGTGGATTACCCCCGGATCCGGTTTTTTGTTGACGCTCGTTTTCCCTTGCAAAAAACAATAGAAAATGAAAATTCTTGTTCTTAGTTGATCAAATTTCAAGAATCCCTTGCAACAAATAAGGTAAAGTGGACATTCGCGCTCGCAAGACGAAATCCTTCCAAAACCTTAGGTTTCGTAACGATTTTAACATAAAAACATCAAAAACCCAATGGTTTTTTTAAGAAAAAATTGTCAAAATGTCCTTCCGCGCGCTCTTGCGGATTCATAGGAAACACACCACTTTTTAAACATTTCTGTCAAAAGGGTCTTTGCGTGCTACTTCTTCAGGTGCTTTGAACTTCTCCAACAACGGTTGCGCGCCTGCGAGGGCCACCATCCCTTGCAAAAAATGAGACGAAGTGCACATGCGCGCGGCCGCCGCGCGCGCATGTCGAAATCCTGCCAAACACAATGGGTTTTCAATAATTTCAAGATGCGATGTTCAGAAAACATATGAAAACGCACTACTTTCTCATCCGAAAAATCTCGAAATCCATTCGCGGTCTCTTGATGAATCTTTAAAACCCAAGATGGCCCCAACAGGCGCGCAAGATGGCCCCAAGAGGCGTCCATGAGGCCCAAAGAGGCGCCCAAGATGGTCCCAAGAGGCTTCAAGAGGACTCCAAGAGGCCCCCAAGAGGTTCCAGAGAGGCTCCAAGGTGGCTCCAAGAGACCCCCAAGATGGCCCCAGGAGGCGTTCTAGAGGCCCCAAGAGTCCGCCGTGAGGGTCCAATAAGCCCCCAAGAGGCCCCAAGATGGTTCCAAGGAGCCCCCCAAAGGCTCTCAAGTGGACCCCAAACCGCGCCAGGAGGCTTCCCCCCTTCCCCAAGAGGACCCCAAGCGGCCCCAGGAAGGCCCCCGACTGCTGACGCACATATCCGTAGCCATCTCGGATCAAGGTATCGCCTGTGTTCTTGGATCATGGCTTTGACGGCGAAAGACCTTCACGAGCAGTATGGCCCTGAGCTGTCGCGGCCTCCCTTGGCCGACTGCGAGAGTGCGTATTATTTGCATCAGGCGCTCCGGGCAAAGGGTATCAATGCTAGTCACCAGGCGTGCAAGACTTGGTGGGCCAAGTATCGGGTTGTGACTGGCACGGTCAGTATTTCTAGCGCCAAGGAGCTGGAGGAGCAGCACGGCTCTGCCATCCGCCACCTGGGCATTGAGTATAATACCGCTTTCAAATTATGCCGGGCGCTCCGACAGTTGGATCCACCACTGTATGTGCCAGATAGGGTCGCAACGGCGTGGCTACTGCAGTATTCATCCAAAGACACGCTTGTCCAAGTGCAGAACGCTGGCCATTTGGAGACCTGGTATGGAGAACGCATTCGCAAAGACATGCCCGAGGGGACCACTGACGGGGCCGTCTTGAAGCAGTGGCTCCTGGGACATTTATCTGTATCTGCTAACGCCAGGGTATGCCAGAAGTGGCTCAGCACGGAGTGGGGCGCCAAGGGGGCATTGAACACTGCCCAAGCTGTGGAGGAATGTATGGGCGAGCGTCTTCGACTCAATCAGTATCGGGAGAGCTTCGCCGACGAGGCCGCTGCGGAGGTCCTCTCGCAGCTTCTCTCGGAGAGCGATCCTCCCGTCGCTGTCAGCGGTATGGTTTTGAGGCAATGGTACGTGAAGTATCACCCTGACTCTGGACCTTTGCAGTATGACACGGCCGAAAAGCTCAACGCGGCACTTGGTGACCACATGCGCGCTGTATATCCAGGGCTGAAGTACCACACGTTGCATACCGTGTTGCGTATGCGACGGAAAGCTGTCTTGGTGTCCCGCTCAGTGTTGAGAAAGTGGTGCGATGTGTATGCGTCGGTGGGCGCTTCAGTGCAGGCGGCGGCTTCATCCGCCCAGGCCGTCACCAAGCGTGTATTGAAGCGCCCGGCGGCACAGGTCGCAGGCGGGGTATTGAAACGGCCAGCCGCCGCCGGAGCTGCCCGCGTGGCCAAACGGCCTGCCGCGGTCGACTGGGAGGAGCCCGTATCGAAGCAGCAGGCCACGGCAGCTTCTTCCTCCACAGATGTGGTTTGTATAAAGCTGCTGACGGGGGATGCTGTAGAGGCGGCATGCGGCAAGCGGTATCGAGAGGAGGTCTCCGACCTGGGCCTTGACCTCCATTACCGGAATATGCAGGTGCGTCTCTCCGTCTTGTATACATGTGTTTCTCTCCCTCCGTCTGGCTGTGCACGCGCGCGTTGGGCACTGAGAGTTAGGATCATAGCGCCATGAGTCTATGAGCAATGCATGCGTCATCCTTGGGACTGTATAACATCAGTGTAACACATGTACTTCTGTAATCGCATCCCCACGAATTTGCCCCAAAAATGTGACCAACTATCTTGGCACTGCGTACCATCTCACGTGTACCGTGTACCACATCATATGTAACAGATGTGATCAACCTCTGTGGGTGTGTACCCCACGCCAGTGTAGTAGCCAGGGTCGTCCGCACGCCACGAAGTGAAGTGTCCCAACGTCATAGGGCGGGAAGCTGGGTGTGGGTGGTCTCGAAGAGTCGTTTGGATATTTGGTAGAGCTTGAACGGCCCCCCCACGAAGTGGGGGTATTGGCTGGTGTCGCAAGAAAACCCTGGCACTGGGGAGAACACTGAGCGTTCGGGTAAAATGATTGTTGTTGTTGTTGTTGTTGTTGTTGCTGTTGTTGTTGTTGTTGTTGTTGTGTGTGTGTGTGTGTTTGTGTGTGTGTTGTGTGTTGTGTGTTGTGTGTTGTGTGTGAGAGTGTGTGTGTGTGTGCGTGTGTGTATATGTTTGTGCGTGTTTGTGCCGAGCCCGGCTCGATGATCTCCCTCCCCTTCCCCCTTGAGCTGGCCCCCCGCTGTCGAGGACGGGGGCTTTCGTAGCGTGCGCCTCCTCTTGAAGAGGATGGATGGGAAGGGGGACCGGTTCCTGCTGCTGTACGTCTGCAACCATTTGGGCTCAAGAGGCGAACGGATGCCACGCGAGGCGCTCGACCCGCGTGATCGTCGCCGCGATGCAGCTTCAAGCCGCGAGCGCCGCTGCTTTTCTGGTAGTCGCGTCTACCGCGTCTAGCACTGCAGCCCGATGTTTACAGCCAATCAATGGGTCTAATGGAGACGTCGCGTACAAGTTTCATAACAAAAAGAATTATGACATCGTGCTCGACGACTCTCAATGGCCTACTTCGACGATCAACGTCATCTTGGCGAAGATCATCCTTGAAGAACATCTAGGCTTCAACGTGTCTTTCAAGCCATCAGGTGGATTGGACAGTTGGGATCCCATTTCGAGAGGTGAAGTGCACGCAAACCTGGAGGTGTGGGAGTCGGAGTTGGAAAAAACATATTACCAAACGTACATCGTGGAGGATCACACCGTCGAGCCATTGGGAGCTGTTGGCGTGGTGGCCAGGAATGGCTGGTACGTCCCAACTTCCTTCGCCCAGGAGTATAACTCCATGACTACATATCTGGGTCTGAAAAATGATGCTGCCCTGCAGCACTTGAAGTACACCAGGGAGAACTATACAGTAAACGAAAGTATCGAGAACGGCCTGTTCATTGGTCCACCAGTATTTTGGGCGCCGAAGAAAGCAGAAGAACAGATAGCGAGAAACCTACACCTCCCGCTTCACATCCACTACGCGGATGACTACGGAGAGTACTTGGACGGCATGCTGGACTGCCTCGAGCGGAGGAACGGGCACAGCGGAAAGTGCATCATGTACAATTACTTCCCCAGCACGATCAAAGCGGCCTACAACATAAGCCGTGTGAGTTTGCCAGAACACACTCCTGAATGTTACGAAAAGGGCGACGAGGGAGGAATTGATTGCGACTACGACTATGCACACCGCTTCGCGGGGGACACGGCCAGGCAGGATTTCCGTCCTGGGGGGTTGTTCAGATTGGTTTGCGGTAGTGTTGGACGCATCTTCGTGTCGTTCGAAGCATTGAGAGGCTCCGTGGCCAGCTGTAGCCGTCCTGTAGCTGGCCTTAGGCTTTCTTGGAGTATATTGGAAGCCATGTGGGCCCTATCTGGAGCCATTTTGGAGGTCATCTTGGGCTCCTCGAGGCCCTCTGAGCCATCTTGGGCCAAACACGACTCTCTGACACCTCGCGGTGATCCCCGTCCAGGTCTAGGAGAGGGGGTACGTAGTAGGGGCATGGGTACGCCCCTCCCCGAAGGGGAAGTGGGAAGATGGAAGAGAAAACTCGCTAGACCACCTCCGCCCAGAGGGCTGGTGGAATTTCTGGTTTGGGATCCCTGGGAGGTGATTGCGGACATGAGGGGACAATCTCACGCTTTCGGAGACTCACAAGGGGTCGGCGGATTTTATCCTGTACAAGATAGTGTGGTCTGAGCTGGCCACGTACGCGCCCGACGCGTATCACGTCCTTCAGCAGTTCAAGCTTACGAAGAACGATCAGGAGGATATGCTGGCAAAGGTCATGCAAGGCATATCGTATTACGACATCGCCTGCGAGTGGATCCATCAGAACAGCAATTCATGGAACTCCTGGATTCCGTTGGATTTTGCCGACGAGCCTCCGCAACCCAGCGCAGGGTCCGTGGTGCAGACTCCTGAGTGGGTCCTCTTGCTCATCTACGCGCTGTCCGGAACGCTGGGAGCCATACTCCTGATCATCGTTGTGGCGTGGCTGGTGTGGACGGTGCGCTCCCGACTCAAATTGCAACGGCAAGTGAAGGCCGCGCTGGAGCTAAAGGTGCGGGAGTGCAGGCAATGCCTCAGAGCGCTGCCGTTCCCGATGTACTTGGTGGACGGGCGGACGTGGACGTCGCTGGCGGTCATGACGCGACACGAGAATCTGCGCAACGCCTGTGCGCTGAAAGCGCTCGACACGCTCAAGGACATACTGAAGTTCCAGGACTCGGGCAATATCATCGCCTTCTTCAGCCACCAGTGGTCAGGTTGGAAGCACCCTGATCCCGAAGGGAAACAGTGGTCCATAATGAAGTCAGCGATGGCCACCATCGCCGAGAGGGAGAGTCGCCCTCTGCATGAAGTTTGGGGATGGGTCGACTACTCTGGTATTCCTCAGAAGAATCGCAATGTGCAGATGTTCGCCATCGACGCGTTGCCCAGCTACGCCGCGAACTCCAACTACTTCATCGTGGTGGCACCCAGCGTTCGGCATTCAGACACGGGCATGCCTCAGGATCGAAGCACGTACAACAGCAGGATGTGGTGCCGCGCGGAGCAGCTCAGCCGCATCTCCCAGTGCGGGATGCGCGACTTCTACTTTGCCGAGGACTCCGGCCTCTGCTCGGGCCAGGAGCTGCTGGGAGCATCGTGGGAGGCGTACCTCGCAGACGTGATGAACGTGTTCTCGGGCGAAGCCACGTGCTGCAGCGAGAAGCACCAGAGGGGGACGAAGACTCTGTCGTGCGACCGGCAGAGGCTCGTGACGCCGATAATGTCGCTCATCGCGAGCCTGCAGGCCAGGGTGAGCGTGTGCATGTCCGACCTGGACGAGGAGTCCGAGGCTTATGATGTTCCAACCTACTTTAGCCCTGACCACGAAAAAGAATTTCAAGCACCAGAAACAATACCGAAACTCGATAGTTTTCACGTGTCGGGCCCTGGGAGACACTCGTCCGACACTGTTTCGACACTGTTTCGACACTTTTCTGGGAGCCCGAGATTCTTTTGGGATGTGAGGGTCCTTAAGTACGACGGGAGCAACATAATCTGAGGCGTGGATTGAGCGTCTGTTGGCCCATCTCGAGACGTTCTTCCCCAAGACCTATCGAAGGAGCCTGCGGCGACTCACAGCCGCCTCCTGTCTTTTGGAAGCGCTCGACTAGACGTAGGAGTGACCTTTCGACGGAGTGACCTTTGGTGCGGGCCAAATTGGGCCCCCCGATCGCCGAACGCGAGGCGGCAATGGCGTCTCGTACTCTTGTGCTTGGCCCCCCGGCGGCCCCCCAAAAACCGCGCACCAAAGGTCACTCTTACCCAGGGTCACTCTTGCGTGCAGCCGGAAGCGCCTATGCGGCCGATCGTTGTGGCCAGATCTCGGCCAAGCTATCGGACTACGTCTTGAAGTTGCCCCGGCCGTTGTTCCTCTTGGGCCGTGATAGGGCCATCTCGGAGGCATCTTGGGCGTTATTGGAGCTATCTTGGTGGTCGTTGGGGTCGTCTCGGGCCGCAGAATCCTTCAAACACCGACGGAACACATGATTTGGGCCTCGTCGGGCCTCCTGGAGGTCTGGGAGGTCTTCTTGCGGGCCACTTAGGCCGCCTTGGGGGCGTCTTTGGGCCGTCTTGGGAGATCTTAGGGCCATCGTGGGGGCATCTCGGGCCAACTTGGAGGCACCTTGGGCCATCCTGGGCAGTCTTCGGGCCATCTGAGCCGTCTTCGGGGCGCCGACGGCGAATCACCGCCGCCCCCTGCCTCTTGGGAGCGCCGATCTCACCGAACGTTGCGCCCGAAGCTCGGGCACGCTGTCGGACTCTGTTTTCCCCTAGCCGTAGTGAGAACCCGCTGGGTAACGATAGGGGGAGGAGGAGGAAGAGCATCAGGAGGACGAGGAGGAGGAGGAGGAGGAGGAGCAGGACGAGGAGGAAGAGAAGGCCGCTTGGGAGCCTCCTGGGGTACTCCTGGGGCCTCCTGGGAGCTGGCTGGGGGCCTCTTGGAGGCCTCATGGGCCATCTTGAGGCCATCTTGGTCCGTCTTGGGTGCATCTTGGGCCGTCTTGGAAGCATTTTTGGGGCCTCTCTGGGCCGACTGGGGGCCCTTTTGGGGTGCCCCAGGGCCGTCTTGGAGGCCATCTTGAGCGTCTTGGAGGCCTCTTGGGCCGCCTTGGGGCCCTCTTGGAGGCCGTCTTGGGGGCCTCTTGGGCCGTCATGGGGCCATCTTGGAGGCCTCGTGGGCGATTTTGGGGCGATCTTGGGGGCCTTTGGGGCCGTCTTGAGCTGTCTGAAGGCCAGCAAGAAGCACATGCCAAAATCCTTCAAACACCTAATGAACATCAATGATTTTGGCCACTTCGGGCCCTTTTGGAGGACCTCTTGGAGGCCTCTTAGGCTGTCTTGGAGGCCTCTTGGGGGCCTCTTGGGCCGTCTTGGCTTGAGGCCATCTCAGGCCGTCTTGGGTGCATCTTGGGCCGTCTTAGAGGTATCTTGGGGCCATCTTAGCCGTCTTGGAGGCCATCGTGGACGTCTTGGAGCCCTCTTGGAGGCCATCTTGGGTCGTCTTGGGGTAACAAAGGCATCGACAGATGGATGTTGAGGGACTTGCGGCAACATCTCGGGTGGTCGGCGGGACGGGCCGAAGCCCCAGGGTGAGTTCTTTTGGAAAAGGAACCAAAACCAAAACCGAAAGGATCTAGACGGTGTCCTCGGACTGCTCGACCAAGGAGTCGACCGCCTTCAACTGGGACCCCCTGGAGCCTCCTGAGCCCTTTGGGTCCAAAAAAAAAAACAAAAAAAAAACCGAAAGGATCTAGCATGCCAGGCACCCCTGTGATGAATCAGCAGGGGGCGGCGGATCGAAGACGCCTGCGGCGAATCACCGCCGCCCGCCGCCCCCCTGCCTTTGTGGAAGCGCCTACGGTAGGTTTGCGTCGTGTCGACCAGCGGCGACCCCAGCGCGGGCGTTCAAGGTTGAACGCCGCCGGCGACCCAGAATCGATCGACGTTGAACGATCGGACGTTGCGGCAGCGGCCGATCGTTCAAGGTTGAACGATCCCTGCGGTGTCAAAAACCAACGCCGGGGTCGACACGACACGAACCTGCCGTATGTATCCGACAGTTGGGCTAGAGCTTGGTCAAGCTATCGGACCATGTGTTCCCCGAGTCGGTCTGGAAAGGTTTCGGGGAACGCGGGGGAGAGGAAGGGGAGGAGAAGGAGGAGAAGGATGAACATGGAGAAGGGGGAGGATGCCTCTTCGGAGCCTCTTGAGGCACTCTTGGGCTCGATTGGACCATCTTGGGACCGTCTTGGAGACTATGTTGGGGCTATCTTGGGCTCGCTTGGGGCCTGTTGAGGGCCACTTGGGGCCCTTTTGGGGCTTCTCGGCCGTCTTATGGCAGTCCTGGCCCGTCTGACGCCGTCGGGAGCCGTCTTGAGGGCCTCTCTGAACCGACTTGGGGCCCTCGTGGGGCGCTTCGGGTCCGTCTTGGAGGCCATCTTGGGCGTCTTGGAGGCCTCTTGGGCCGTCTTGGGGCCCTCTTGGGGCCTTCTTGGGGGCTTCTTGGGCCGTCATGGGGCCATCTTGGAGGCCTCGTGAGCGATTTTGGGGCGATCTTGGGGGCCTCTTGGGCCGTCTTTGGGCCTTCAGAAGCCCCAAAAGAAGCACACGCCAAAATCCTTCAAACACATACGGAGAACCAATGATTTACCAATGATTTTGGCATCTTCGGGCTTTCCTTGAGGACCTCTTGGAGGCGCCTTGGGGGCTCTTGGGGCCTCTTGGGCCGTCTTGAACAATCTTGAGGCTATCTTGGGCCGTCTTGGAGGCATCTTGGGCCATCTTGGAGGCATCTTGGGGCCATCTGAGCCGTCTTGGAGGCCATGTTGGCCGTCTTGGAGGCGTCTCGGAGGCCATCTTGGGCCGTCTTGGAGCCATCTGGAGCAGGAGAAACCTTTGGCAACCACCTCTTGGCCGGCGGGGCGGGCCGAAGCCCCAGGGGGAGTTCTTATGGAAACATCCCAAACCAAAACCAAAAGGGTCTAGCACGCCAGGCACCCTTGCGATGAATCGACAGGGGGCGGCGGATCGAAGACGCCTGCGGCGAATCATCGCCGCCCCCTGCCCCTTTGGAAGCGCCTATATGTCCGACAGCTGGGCTAGAGCTTGGCCAAGCTATCGGACCATGTGTTCCCCGAGTCGGTTTGGAAAGTCTTCGGGGAACGCATGGGGGAGCAAGAAGAGGATGAGGGGGAGGAGGAGGAGGAGGAGGAGGAGGAGGCCTCTTGGACGCCTCTTGGGGCACTCTTGGGGCCTCCCGGGAGCTTCCAGGGGGCCTCTTGGAGGATTTTCGGGTGCCTTTTGGGGGCTTCTTGGGGTCCTTTTTGGCCGTCTTATGGCGTTCCTGGCTTGTCTGACGCCGTCGGAAGCCGGATTGGGTGCCTATCTTGGGGCATATCAGGGGTTTTGGGAGGCCATCTTGGGCGTCTTGGATGTCTCTTGGGCCGTTTTGGGGCCCTCTTGGGGCCGTCTTGGGGGCCTCTTGGGCCGTCATGGGGCCATCTTGGAGGCCTCTTGGGTGATCTTGGGGGCCTCTTGCGCCCCTCTTGCGCCGTCTTGGGCCGTCGGGATGCCGAGAAGAAGCAAATGCCAAACTCTTTCAAAAACCTTTGGGCAAGCAATGAGTTTGGCTTCTTCGTGCCCTCTTGGGAGACCTCTTGTACGCCTTTTGGGCCGTCTTGGAGGCCTCTTGGGGGCCTCTTGGGCCGTCTTAGGCCATCTGGAGGCCATCTCAGGCCGTCTTGGGTGCATCTTTCGCCGTCTTGGAGGCATCTTGGGGCCATCTTAGCCGTCTTGGAGGCCTCTTGGACCCTCTTGGGGCCGTCTTGGGGGCCTCTTGGGCCGTCATGGGGCCATCTTGGAGGCCTCGTGGGCGATCTTGGGGGCCTTTGCGGCCGTCTTGAGCCGTCGAAGGGCCGAAACAACGAACATGCAACAATCCTTCAAAAACACAATGAAAAGCAATGATTTTGGCTTTTCGGGCCTACAGACCTCTTGGAGGCCTTTTGGGCCGTCTTGGAGGCCTCTTGGGGCCTCTTGGTCCGTCTTAGGCCATCTGGATGCCATCTCAGGCCGTCTGGGGTGCATCTTGGGCCGTCATGGAGGCATGTTGGGGCTATCTTAGCCGTCTTGGAGGCATTTTGTGCGTCTTGGAGGGCTCTTGGGCCGTCTTGGGGCCCTCTTGGGGGCATATTGGGGGCCTCTGGGGCCGTCATGGGGCCATCTTGGAGGCCTCTTTGGTGATCTTGGGGCGATCTTTGGGGCCTCTTGGGCCGTCGGAAAGCCTAAAAGGCGAAAGTGCACAAATCCTTCAAACACCCAAGGACAGTCAATGATTTTGGCCTCTTCGGGCCTTCCTGGAGGACCTCTGTGAGGCCTCGTGGGCTGTCTTGGAGACCTCTTAAGGGGCCATCTTGGGCCATCTTGAGGCTATCTTAGGCCGTCTTGGGTGCATCTTGGGCCGTCATGGAGGCATGTTGGGGCCATCTTAGCCGTCTTGGAGGCCATCGTGGCCGTCTTGGGGGCATCTTGGAGGCCATCTTGAGCGAACAAATTGGGGAATTGAGATCTTGGGCAATCTTTCCCGGTAGCCGGCGGGACGGGCTGAAGGCCCCAGGGAGTTCTTGAAAAAGAACCAATACCAACACCGACAGGATCGGGCTCGCCAGGCATCCCTGCGATGAATCGGCAGGGGGCGGCGGATCGAAGACGCCTACGGCGAATCACCGCCGCCCCCTGCATTTTTGGAAGCGCCTATGTGGCCGAACGTTGAGGCCAGACCTGCCAAGCTATCGGACCATGTGTTCCCCGAATCGGTTTGGAAAGCCTTCGGGGAACACGTGGGCATCTTGAAGGTCATCTTGGCCGTCTGGAGGCCATTTTGACCCTTTCGGGCCTTCTTGGGGGACGTCTTGGAGGGCTCTTGGGCCGTCTTGGAGGCCATCTTGAGCGTCGTGGAGTCCTCTTGGGGCCGTCTTGGGGGCCTCTTGGGGCCGTGTCTTGGGCCTCTTGGGCGATCTTTGGGGGCACTTGGGCCGTATCGGGCCGTCGGAAGGCAGAAA